GGTGTGACCAGAGTAAGGACAAGTCAGTGTGGATCCTATTGATGTTTGCATCTTCGAAGTCCAATATCTGAGCGACTATTAAGGGCTCCCTTAGGCTCAACGTGATATCATAAACCCAGCGAGTTAGTTCGCCGGTTGTTTTCTTTTTCTGCCCAGTCGTTAAGCATACAGTTACATTATGTAAGTTACTACAATTTAATACCTAATAACATGTATAAATTAGGATAACCAAAAAAAGGACTGACTTATTTCCATTGGGGTCTTTGTAATATCTTATAACTACCAGAAAAAAAAAATAATCAAAATTGAAAAGTACATACTGTAAAGGGATCTTTTTATGGATATTCCAATTTTGGATGCCTTTTGCGTTCATTTTAAAAATAAATCAATATATATTAGTGTAGAGGAAGAGGGTGACTTGTGTGTTTCAAGGGTGTGACTTCCAGATTATTGATTTATTGGCTTTTAAAGCCAACGTGTCCGTTTGCATTTCCACTGGATAATATAAGATTCAGTGGCATTTACTTCGCTGAATTTGATTTTCTGTGTCCATCGTATAATTGGAAATGCTGTATATATATTGAGGAGTTGTATATATAGTCGATGGTTGTGACAGGAGGGTAGAGGGAGGTTAGTATAGTGCGGCACCGAGGCAACAAAGCTGGTGTGGTGTTTGCGGTTGAGTCACTCCTTAGCATATTGAATAGTTGTTGTCTGTAATGTCAGCATAATCATCATTCTTCATACGTGATGTTCACCATTCATGGATGACCCAGATGGTCACATGTTTTTAAAGCGCCCGAGCGCACCATGTCAGAGAAGGGACTGTATCTGCCGCTAGTTAGACCACGCAGCCGGGGATTTCGTGACATTTAAAAGAACCTCTGAAAAAAAGCGAGTAGAAAGAGTAGAACCCTAGGGAAGTGTTTAAAGTTATTTTCTCAGCGTTCAATGGTGGCGCGCCAGTCTGCGGTTTCTCAAGACGAGTCGAGGAACAGCGCTGGCCATCGACACATGGTGTTTTCAAACACGCACTTTCCCAACCAACTACTCTTATTGACCCCACCAAAACCGCGTTTAAACCCAACCTCTAAAACCTCAGTAACGCCCAATTAGACAAAAACGATCACAACACTCCAAAAAAATCTAGCTAAATAACATGTAACTGATAATTAAATTGCAAAATAAGGTTTAAGGGCGGAGACCCGAGTTACGGCATCCCCCCCGGTTGACGGGAAATTGTATCTGTGACTGTTTGGTTTAGGGAAACCTGTAGTGAGCAGCACGCAGCCGCGCATCTTATTTTGAAATTTCCCTGCGTATTTATCCAGTCTGCGCGCGAGAGGTAGAAGTCCCTTAGATTACATTGGTTATATGCTGTGCTTGTAGTATTGTGATTTTTCCTTATCGAAGGAGAGAGTGTTGGTGTAAAATGGAAACGAGGTTCGTGTAGATGATGTCTAGTTGAGTGATGAACTGCGTCAACGTCTGATAACTTGTTTCTCTATTATTCTTAATTACATTACTTTGGCTGTAATTCTTGGTATCCCATTTGTAATGGTGTAAAAATGGGAGTTATGGGTGTCTTGGCGCACTTACAGGCTTAGCTGGGTGCACTGTAAACCTGAGTGAGTACATCTGGGGCTTACCCCGGGGGAGCCCTCTCGACTGTGTTAGATGGACATCTAACTTTCCTCTGTCTTCTAATAATATGTTCATTTTTTTTTCCACTATAATTACCTTTTCCATAATTATGTTTAACATTTGCGCTTTGTTTTGTAGGGTGTGTCAGGATCTATTACTTAATTCATGTTATAACTTGACAAATCTCAGGAGCCTGTACAACATAAGAATTAATCCTCTGTACAATCGTAACTATAACAGGACAATTTAATATTTACCTGATCTTCTGTAAATTCCAAAAGTAGGTCCATAACTATATATGACAATTCTGATTTAATGGACTGTTGAAAATCTGAAATCATTTTAACTGATAAACTGAAGCTAATAATGGAATCAGTTTGTAAGATTTAGACTGTTTTTGGACATTTCTGGCTACAGTCTGGTCGATTAAATCCAAAATCGTTAAACCGAAGTTTTGTTAAATATCAGACTGTGTAGAATACTTGCTCACGTTGCGTAATGTTTATGGGAAGGGGTGTTCGCATAACTTAAATATCATATTATCGTTTACACTCAGTTGTTTGCTTTCCTGTGTGTTTTTTAATAGTTTTTATTTCTCTAATATTTCTTTTCAATACAGTTAGGTCTCAGTGCAAATAATGTAAATCTCATGAAGTGGTCGCATTATTTAATAATTTGCACAATTTGAGGTGTATGTTAATTTTTGCACATAATTTAAGGAGCTGGGGAGGGAGAAAACTAGAATTAATTAATTTCACACTAGGGACGCAGAAAATTTGGGATGTCTCTTCTCTCAGACTCACAAGGGACCCCAAGGAAAAACTAAAGCACTTTTGACTTTTTTTTGTTGTGTATCCTAGTAGTTCTTACAAATTTGTCTGTTATGTATGAAAATTTATGTAACTGCTTTTATGTGTACCTGTACACTAATATACTTACTATTCAGAGACTGGCTGTAGTTATAATAACCTAGAGCCAGGAACAGACTAGGTTTCATATACAGCAGTAATGATTGCAAGTATTTAGTCATATCTCTATTGTCCGTAGCTACTATCTGCTGTGTTATTAACACGACTCACAAAATTCGTAATAAGTTTGAGTGCAAACAAATCTATCGTTAACAGGCAGGTGCGAAACCCATGGCTAAGATGGCCGTATTTCTATATCTTTAAGAAATACGTTAGTGTTTTAATGGGTTAACCACAGAGAAACCTTCAGGCACACATAACTGCGATTAAAACACTCATTACTGGGAACACTTGAAGTTTATCAACCTCGTACTTCCTAGAACAACACGTGGGGGAGAGTGATACATGATTATTACTATACACTTGGAAATCCTAGCGGGATTATTACCAAACTTGCCCATGAAATCACTATGAAAGCAAAAGACGTCAGCAAATGATGCAACATCCTGCCAATGCAAAAGCAGGGTGCGCCAATAGCACGGATAAGACGACAACCACGCTGTAAGTTATAAGGGCTCTAGGACTTGTTCACTGCGTCCAGCATACGTAAGGGGATACCCAGTAGACCTGGTGTTTTTCAAGAACGGCACTTTGGACAGGCAGCCTAAAGTCAGTACCAGGACTAAACCAGGTGTGGTTTGCCGTTGAGTTGCCTGCGGCCAACAGTAACAGCTGGTTGATCAGGCCCTGATCCACCACGTGGCTGGTCACGACCGGGCACCAGTGCGGGTGTTGACCCCCGAAACCCTTCAGGTTATACAATGATTTGGGATAGAGAAACAGTAATCCACAGCACAGGAAATATCCCCAATATTGTAATTTATATGCATTAATTCCGACCAATTTCTTTTTAACTGTGACATCAAAACTAAATTTGATGATTGGAAAGGTTTTAAATGATAGTTGTACGCAAGACTCTTGCACAACCAATTACAGTTGGTGTGTCACAGGGAAGTGGTCCTGGCCCTCTTCCTCTTTCTCATATACATAAAGCCTCCAATGCTTCGCAATTACTCAAACCACACTTTTTTGCAGATGATGACACCACATACGTCTTCTTCACCCGAGCCAAGTCACGCTAGTCAATATTGTAAACAACGAATTACAGAAGAAATATCTATACTGATGAGGTACTAAAAACTTTACATTTAAAATTGGACAAAAACCTAGACTTCATTCAGTTTGGTAGACAGAGCTACAGATGTTACCCTCTTAACATAACGTTAAAGGGATCACGTTTCACAAAGCTAAAGAGGGAAAATTTTAGGAATCCACCTCGATAATATGACTCAAATTTCATACAACATATACAACAAATTTTAAGAAAATTTCCAAGATGTAGGCATACTTTCGTAGATACAGGTTACTATGGCTCCAACAGTTCAAGCCTCCTGTGGCCTTCATCACTTTAATTTACCCCTATCTCACCTATGGGCATTTGGTGCATGGGGCTCAACAACCAGACTAACCATCTCAGTCCACTAATTACTCCAACAAATAGGCTGCAGTTAGAATTGACTGATAAATTCATCATACAGGCAGGCACACTCCACCAATATTCTCAAAAGCACTCATCCTACTCACCTTACAAAACATCATACAGTATTGCACTTATTACATCATAGACGCACTTACTCTGATATTAACCTCCCTCAAACATCTCCTTGCCAACCTAACAGAACACATGACCATAATAAAAGGCACAGATCACTTGCTTGATGTTCTCGTTGTCCATCCACGTGTTATGCACAAAACCTCAATGCACATAAAGGCCTAAAATCTGGGATTCATTACCTGTAAATATAAAAAGAACACTAGTCTGTTTATAAATTCAAGTGTCTTCTCAAAGTTCACTTACTTCACTCAAACAACTCAAAATATGGAATAAGCCTGAACCATTTATAAATTATATCCTAAATGTTACTCACAATTATATCACACAAATGGTTAAAACTAAACTTTGTGTCTTTTTTTTGGTTTTCAAATACACTACCTGAATGAACAGCAATGCATGCAACCATATGACCTGGTCTTTGTAATACTCATTTGTATTTTATAGTTATCTGTTGACAATAATGTCTGTTCACTAGAGATTTCATTCATTGCTTAGTTAACTTAAGTTAACTTCTTAAGCCAGCCCGTAATGCTTTGGCTAGTATAAGTGGCTTTGGGCATGCTGCTCTTATGTATTTTTTTGTACCTCTTATCAAGAGCTCTTCAGCAGTATTAAATATGGATGGGATGTCGCAAAAAAATTTGCCAATACACAAAACGATTCTGATAATTTTAGACAGATACAGATACCATCAAAATTAGTGTATTTAAGACATATACCATGCTTTACACACCCCATTGATTGAAGATGAGGCTCTAACAAACACTCCTTACCAGATAATGTTGGTAATCTGCAGTCTTTCCCTCACTTTATTTCCATGGATTCCCTTACGCAAATGCGCCATTATGCGAGGTTCATTTCTGTTGGTATGTTCCGAATGTTTCTGTACAATCACATACGTGGTGGTGAGTTTCCTGTCATAACATTTAATATTTTTTTATTAGCTTGTACAGGCATACTTTGCCTTTAAGGCCACATTTGCTAATATGGACAATTTTCAATTTACACGTTATGTATACAGTGGCCCCCGTTACGTTATTATTTCATTTCCAGATGTTATGTTCAGGAGTGCATTACTGAACGAATTTGTTCCAATATTAGAATATGTGAATTAGATTAGTCCATTTCAGACCCCCCAAACTACACGTCAAACGCACTTATCCATAAATACATTACACATTAATTGGTTGCATGGGAGGTGATCGTTAAAGCGAGGTTCACTGTTTTTTGTTTATTATTTAGCACTTGTCCGCTCTTAAGATGGTTTTTGGCCAGCAAACTTATTTTTTTATATTTTTTTACTTTTTGCATCAGTTTTTTTAGGCCTAACGCTAATTGAGCACTTAATAACTGATAGTGCCAAACATGTATTAACACGTATTTAGCTTTTCATATGCAGCGGCAGGTGAAAAAGAGATGATTCACTTTCTGATCTGGAAACCTAATCCAACGTATTTGAGAGGTACGCCTGTACGTGGAATTAAGTGTTGTTGAGCTGCTTGGAGCTTAGCTATGAGAATTTCTGTTTGTACTTTAATCAATACTGATTTGTAATTTTGTGAATGTAACAAAGTATATTTTATTTAATGTTTTTTGTGGTTTGTGTGTAGATTCTGTATCATTTAAATGTTTACTTTTTCTTTTTTGCCAAACTGTATTAGCACATATCACATACCTAGTTTATTTAGGTGTACAATAATTAAGGCCTCCCAAATTGTGAAAAAATCAGTTTCAGGGGATTCCGTAGGCACCTTAAGGAGAGCACTGTGGTCAATAGCATGACCTACGGAATCTTCAACCTTATAACAGCAGAGATAGAAAAATTGTTGAACAACGTTGAAGTTTTTCCCGAGGACAGCTGGATGCTACCTGCTACAATGTCTAATCACCCAGATTATAATGGCTTATACGTATAGGCTTCAAGTCTGTAGCAGCAACAGCCTGTTGATTCAAGTAGTCACCAAGTGAAAATCTGGCCTCAGACCTATCTGTGAAGCCAGAGGACACCCTTTCATAACTAGTTGCAGGTGTTTTCGCGGACGGGTATTCAACATTTTTACTAAGTCTCACCGGTATCAAAATATATCAGCATTTGTTTGCAGTGCAATTTTTTGGGGTAGCTTAGGTGCGCACGACCCACAAATGAAAATTACCGATAAGAATTCATTCAGATGTGCTTACAGTACTAGAGTTTGTATGTCAAATCACTTTTTTTTTTTTTTCTGGGGCACACTTTATGTATCGTTGTACTGGGATATTCACTCTTAAAAAGAATACCAGTCTCTCCTCACTTAACGATGGAGAGAGTTCTGTCCTTAAGACCACGTCCGGTAACTGAATCGTCGCTTGGTGTGGAGCATACTACAGAATATTGGGTAGTGGGTTTGTGTCAACCATCTTGATATTGTCTAATGTCATCTTAGCACCATTTATAAATTTCTGGTAATTTTTAAATTGTTTATCTGTATATTTGTATGAACAGGAATAGAGGAAATCAATTCTAATATATGTACCTTATTTGGGTATGCGGACTGGTCAGAGACCCCGTCGTAAGTCCGCAGTCTTCAGTTAATGAATATGCCGCTAAGTGAGGAGGGGCTGTAATTTAATCTTTATTTCTAAAAATGCATGTGCAAAAATTATGGCCTAGTTGACATCAGTGACATACATTTGGGACCCCGGTTAACGATTTTAACCCGTGCAAGGGGGGTTTAAATCGTTATGCGAAATAATCGTTATGTGAATAAATTTTTCCCAATAAGAATAATGGAAAATAAAATTTAATCCGTGAAGACACCCAAAAAGAAATAAAAAAAAAATTTTTTTTTACCACATGAAATGTTAATTTTAAATACACACAAACTGAAAAAGGCATGCACACTTACATGACACTTACTTTTATTGAAGATCTGGGGGATGATTGATGGGATGGGAGGAGGGGAAGAGCATTATCTTCTTACTGTTTAGAAGGGGAATCCCCTTCCATTAGGATTTGAGGTAGCAACCCCTTTTCCGGGGTTACTTCCCTTCTCTTTTAATGCCACTAGGACCAGCTTGAGAGTCACTGACCTCTGTCGCACAACAAATCTGTCCATAGAGCTCTGTACCTCCCGTTCCTTTACGATTTGTCTAAAATGGGCCACAACATTGTCATTGAAATAGTCACCAGCACGGCTTGCAACAGCTGTGTCAGGGTGATTTTCATCCATAAAGGTTTGCAGTTCAACCCACTGTGCACACATTCCTTAATTTTTGAAGTAGGCACAATGGATTCCAAAAACTGGCATAGGCTTCTCAGGGGTTTGCCCCAAACCCCTTTAAAATCTTTCTTAATTTCCATACTAATTCTCACCCCTTTTTACCACAGGGTTGGCACTAGAAGCTTTTTTGGGGCCATGGTCACTTATTTTCCAGAAACAGCACCGAAAACACTGTAATAATACGAATATTCCGATTGTATGCTTGGATGTTATTGCGGAGGCTGGCTGGTAAACAATGCCACCGGGGGAACATGTGAGCGTGGCTCAGGGCCCCACATTGGAAGCGTCTCGGACGAAAATCGGGAAGCGGGGTTTTTTAAACGGTATGCGAGGCAAAATTTTTTGCAATTAAAGTAAGCGGTATGCGAAATAATCGCTATGTGATGCCATCGTTATGCGGGGGTCCACTGTACAATATATAGAAAGGCCCTTATTCAGGGAAATCAGGTCAAATTTTTTCCCCAAGATGTGAACCACACCACCGGCTTACACCCAGGTACCTATCTACTACTAGGTGAACAAGGACAGCAGATGTCTTAAGGAAGCCCTGTCTAAAGTTCCACCGTACAGGGGATCAAACCATGGACCTAAATGTGTGAGCTGAGTGCACTAGCAATCAAAAATTGATCCTCAGATGCCTGTGCCCACAGGCAAGGGTATACCCATTCATCTAGGCTGAACACACACTTATGAATGTTTGTATTGTCACAGACTGGGCCGCGGGAGCGTTTGACCCCCGGAACCCTCTCCAGGTATAGAGATTGGCATCCGAAACCATGACACAAATCTGAACAAATTTTTTATACAGACAGACTCAGAGAAATTTTCAGTTTTTAGATTTAGGAACCTCAGGAACACAAATCACAAAATTTGAGGCTTTTCTTACTACATGTAAACTATTTACTCACTGGCTTTTAAAAACCATTTATACC